CTCACTCTATCAACCAACACTTCTCTGACTTTGATAGCTCGACGCGTGGGGGCAGTGTGAGGGAGGGCACTTGGTCCTTAGCCAAATTTTGGGCCCGATGTGTTCCTTAGAGCTTTGTATGGGCGAAATTTCCCTCAGCCCCTGCAATCTCGCCCACCAGACCCGATTCACCCTGCAAGCATAAATTCGCTACTAAAGCATGCGCTAAGAACCTCTAAGAAATCAGGAAAAACTCCATAAGTAACTCTGTCTGCTCAGGAAAAAAATATTTAGGAGTCCTGATTCACAAGGAATTTTTTTGGGACCAACCCTGAAAAATCAGAGAAAAACTCAGGGGGGATCTTGAGCGATCAGGGCTCCTAAAAACCAATCTAGGGGCCTGATAGGGAGGATCAAGTGGCCAGCTGAGGCGGAGGCAGGCATGGAAAAACGTGCAACTACGGCTTCTAAGAAGTCTTTGGCGTTCGCTACAGCAGTAAAAACGCTGACACTCAGAAAGGGGAAGCGCATGACTAATGGCAAGCTGCGCTACAGCATCGCGAGAGTCCCAGACAGCGCAAGCGAGCGCAGCAGCAGCATAGACCTCACTCTCAGCAGTGGTGGGGTCGGCAGGGAGGGGATCAGGAGCGGAGGGGCAAGGAAGTAAGCCATCAACATGCATAGCCAGGGAGTGCCCATCCTGGCGCTGACCTGTCAGGTGCCGGCGGATATCGACAAACCAGGCGGCAAAGTCGATCGCGTGCCCCTCCGCGTCCAAACGTAGCATGGCGTCCGTCATCGCGCAACAACAACGGCACCGGGACACAGCGGCATAGGGACACAGCGGCACAGCAGTACAGGGACTCAGCTGCACGGCGAGACAGCGACGCGGAGGCAGGACTCTCCGGAACAGGAACCGGACGGAAGGCCGAAGAGGCGCACGAGGAGCCTGCGGGCGCGCAAGGGGCCGAGGCGCACGAGGGGCCGGCGCGTAGAGAGGGGCCGGCAAGGCGCGTGGGGTCGGCGGTGCGCAGGAGAGGGGCCGGCTAGGTGGTAGGGGCCGGCTAGGCGCGAGGGGCCGGCGAGGCGCGAGGGACCGGCAACGGCACGAGGGGTCGGCAACGGTGCGAAGGGCCAGCTAGGGCGCGAGGGGGCGGCAACGGCGCGAGGGGCTGGCTGGTCGCAAAGAGGCTGGCTAGGCGCGAGGGGCCGGCTAAGTAAGAGGGGCCGGCTGGGCGCAAGGGGCCGGCTGGGCGCAAGGGGCTGGCTGGGCACAAGGGGTCGGCGACAGCAAGGGGCCAGCTAGGGCGCGAGGGGGCGGCTAGGCTCGAGGGGCCAGCAACGGCGCGAGGGGCTGGCGACGGCACGGGGGGCTGGCTGCGGCGCGAGGGAGGGCCAGCTTGTCGCGAAGCGGCCGGTAAGGCGCGAGGGTTTGGCTAGGGCGCGAGGAGAATGATGGCGTGAGGGGCCGATTAAAGCGAGCGTACAGACCAAACTCAAGATTCAAAGGCTTTGAATCTTGAGTTGGGGGTAGCGAAAATCGCGAGGGGCACAAGTGTCGCAAAAACGGGGCGGGCCCCACGCGAAAGGCTAGGGGTCTCGCGACGACTGTTAATGATATCGCCAAAACAGGCGAGGTCGCAAGGGTACAGCGGGCGACGCTGCCCGTCGAACACGCGAAAGCACTGTTCAGACAAATCGAAACAGTAAAACTCATTTACGGTGAAAAGCACCTACAGTGTTGCTAAAGCTCGTGAAAACGTAGAAACGTAGAAACCACCACAACGCATCTACGTTGACACAAATACATAACAATATTTAAACAATGAAGCACACGACTTGAAAATACCAGGGATCTAGTTCCCACTGAGTGCAAAGTCAGGGTTTTAAAACGTACACAAACGAGAAGGGCGCGATCGTCATTTTTATTAGGCAAGAAGCAAGACACACAATGCAGCACGACCAAGGAAACCCCCACCAGATGTCACCTCTCCCCCCCACCAGAGCCCGCCTACCCCTCCCGAAAAACACGGGGAGAGGAGCACAGTGCTATGCTTCCCCCCCCACAGAGCTATGCTTCCCCCCTCTCAGCAATATGCTTCCCCCGTCACAGCACTGTGCTTCCCCCCTCACTGCACTGTGCTTCCCCCGTCACAGCACTGTGCTTTCCCCCCTCACAGCACTGTGCTTCCCCCCTCACAGCACTGTGCTTCCCCCCTCACAGCACTGAGTAGGAGCAGGGGGTAAGACGGAATGGGAGCAGGGGTAAGACGGAATGGGAGCAGGAGGTAAGACGGAATGGGAGCAGGAGGTAAGACGGAATGGGAGCTGGAGGTAAGACGGAATGGGAGCAGGAGGTAAGACGGAATGGGAGCAGGAGGTAAGACGGAATGGGAGCAGGAGGTAAGACGGAATGGGAGCAGGGGTAAGACGGAATGGGAGCAGGAGGTACGACGGAATGGTTTTAGGAAGGGATAGGCGCGGGGATCATGAGGGGTGGCATTGGAAGCGGTGGGTACGACAATAAGAGGGGGGAGAGAGGGGGGGGGGGGGGGGGGAGGGGGAGAGTTGGACGGTCGCAAATAAGAAACCAGAGTGAGAAGGGCATTTGGAGGAGTGAGTGGAGGGGGCCAGAGAGAGAGAGGCGGAGAGAAAATGCAAGAAAGAAAGAGAGAATGAGAGAGAGAGAGAGAGAGAGAGAGAGAGAGAGAGAGAGAGAGAGAGAGAGAGAGAGAGAGAGAGAGATCGATAGAGAGAGATAGGGGAGGGGGGCGCGAGAGAGAAAACCCGCCTCCCTCCCATCCAGACCCCTACTTCTCCCCCCCTCCCAAGAACCTCCTTTTCCCCGCTGCCATGCCCCTCCTTCCCCCCCTCCCATAGCCCTCCTTCCCCCCCTCCCATAGCCCTGATTTCCCCCTCCCATAGCCCTGCTTCCCCTCCTCCCATAGCCCTGATTTCCCCCCTCCCATAGCCCTGCTTCCCCACCTCCCATAGCCCTGCTTTCCCCCCTCCCATAGCCCTGCTTCCCCACCTCCCATAGCCCTGCTTCCCCCCCTCCCATAGCCCTACTTCCCCCCCTCCCATAGCCCTGATTTCCCCCCTCCCATAGCCCTGCTTCCCCACCTCCCATAGCCCTGCTTTCCCCCCTCCCATAGCCCTGCTTCCCCACCTCCCATAGCCCTGCTTCCCCTCTCCCATAGCCCTGCTTCCCCACCTCCCATAGCCCTGCTTCCCCCCTCCCATAGCCCTGCTTCCCCACCTCCCATAGCCCTGCTTCCCCCCCTCCCATAGCCCGACTTCCCCCCTCCCATAGACCTGATTTCCCCCCTCCCATAGCCCTGCTTCCCCACCTCCCATAGCCCTGCTTTCCCCCCTCCCATAGCCCTGCTTCCCCACCTCCCATAGCCCTGCTTTCCCCCCTCCCATAGCCCTGCTTCCCCACCTCCCATAGCCCTGCTTCCCCCCTCCCATAGCCCTGCTTCCCCACCTCCCATAGCCTGCTTTCGCCCCTCCCATAGCCCTGCTTCCCCCTTTCCCATAGCCCTGCTTCCCCCCTCCCATAGCCCTGCTTCCCCCCCTCCCATAGCCCTACTTCCCCCCCTCCCATAGACCTGATTTCCCCCCTCCCATAGCCCTGCTTCCCCACCTCCCATAGCCCTGCTTTCCCCCCTCCCATAGCCCTGCTTCCCCACCTCCCATAGCCCTGCTTCCCCCCTCCCATAGCCCTGCTTCCCCACCACCCATAGCCCTGCTTTCGCCCCTCCCATAGCCCTGCTTCCCCCCTTCCCATAGCCCTTCTTCCCCCCCTCCCATAGCCCTGCTTCCCCCCCTCCCATAGCCCTGCTTCCCCCCCTTCCATAGCCCTGCTTCCCCCCCTCCCATAGCCCTGCTTCCCCCCTTCCCATAGCCCTGCTTCCCCCCCTCCCATAGCCCTGCTTCCCCCCTCCCATAGCCCTGCAGGGCGTGGGGATAGGAAGGGAGGGAATTGGCGACGGGAAGACATGGGATGGCCGACGAGGATGGGAAAGGGATGGGAAAATGGGTGCTGGGGGGAAGCGGGGACGCGGGAAAGCGGAAAGCGGGACTGCGGGAACGCGGACTAGCGGATTGGGCGGAAAGCGGAAAATCGGGGAAGCAGGATAATGGGAAAGTGGGAATCGAGAGAGCAGGAAGTGGGATACGGGAAGCGGGAAAGCAGTGGCAGCTTGAGTGCGGGAAATCAGGGAGGCGAATGCAGTCAGATGCAGTGGGCGGGGTGGAAAACAGGGAATGCGGAAGAGTGGGAAAGCGGGGCAGCGCTCTCGCAGCTGCTGCGAGGAGCGGGGAGTGGGAAGCGAGGCAACGGGCGAGGTACTTGGGCGCACCGGCGAGGAAATGCCTTAGACTTGCTAATAAGGTCTTCGCGTGGCACGCCCTAAAATGATAGCGTGGCATGCAGCGAAGTGGGCGATTAGGTATGAAATCACTGGTCGCATAAACTAACGGAGATGCGGCAGGTAGCTGTCGCCCACAGGGTTACGGGATTATGTAAACGTTACTAATAAGCCGCACCTTTCCCGTGAATGACGAAATAGGAGGTAAGCGCTGTGTTAGGGAGCGAGAATGGCGGGGAAGGAGCCATGGCTACTGAGTACAGAGTAAAAAGCAAAAGCTTTGGATCTTCCTTGTTCTGTCGCTGGGTTGGTGGTGAGTCGCAAAGCCAACCAGAGTCTTCCCAAATAAAAATCGCACCCCTACTGCTGGTATTTGGTTACCGTGTTTGTTTCGCGTTAGTTTTCGTGCGTCGGGGGATTCAACACCTTTGACTCGAGTTTGGTCTCTACGCTCGCTTTAAGGCGCAAGGGGCCGGCTAGGGCGCGATGGCAGTCCGCTATGGTGCTGATCCACACCAATTTGCGCACCAGAGTAGAGTGGACGTAGGTAGCAGATAAGGGATAGGATAACTTGGTGGTGCTTTCCCTCGTGCTGCATGCTTGACTTGTGTATGCATTGACCCTTGGAAGAGTGGTGCAGCAGAATGCCTATGATTATTCCCACCGCGTACAAACTGGATGAAATTAACTACTGGTTTCACGTTGCAACTAAGGCGGTAGCTCCACTACCCTTCATAACTCCAGGCTGACATCTCGGTCATTCATCTGACTAACTAAATGACTAGATAAGAAATCAGAAGAAGCAGCATCAGGGCGAAAGGCTTCAGTGGCGACAGATGGTTACCTGCGAAACAAAAACAAAATCGACGTACACAAAGAAATATGTTTACGACGACTTCAATATAGAACGGCTGACCAGAAGACCAAGGTAGAGCACAGCTTACCCGGGCTGTCAGGGTTGTTCCAGCCGATGGGCGGGGTGGGGTCGGTGGCAACGAGCGGGCCGGTGCCGGGGAAGAGCACGACGGAGATGTCGTTGAGATCCGTGTCGGCAGTGGACTTGCTGTTCACCGTCTGGTTCTTGGCGTTCGCCACCAGCTTCTCCGTGCGAATGATGCGCCCGTACGCGAACTGCGTGCCGTCATACTTGGCGTCCGTGTCGTTCGCAAGGCCCTTGGGCACGGACCTGTTGTTGGAGCCGTATGCGCCGGGGGGCATGCAGCTCATGAACTTGAAGAACTCCGAGCTGTAGTTGAGCGGGTTCAGCGCGTAGATCGTCGTGTTCAACATGCTCTTCACCGTGTTGCCGTTCGACTGCCAGGGCGGACAAATGCAAAACGGGGCATGGCGTTCTTAGACATATGCTCACGTTGATGCAGCATCTGATTACTTCATCAGTTGAAGGTTGAAGCATAGAGACTGTTCAGGCACTCACGTTGATGATGGCACCGGTGATGCCGGTGACGTTCACCGAGAGCTGCTTCATCAGGCGGATCAGCACGTTCTGCGCGCCGGAAGACGCGCCGTTGAGGCTGTCAGGGGACCCGCCGCTGTAAGCGACGGCCTGAAGCGCCTCAAGAATGATGTCCGAGGAGCCGGGCGGGCTTATCGTCTTGTTGTAGCCGCTCACTGCGGCGCCCCACGCCTGGTTGGTGGGAGACAGAATGGTTCCGACGGTGACATCTGTGAAACCCTCCTTGGTCGCGACGAACTGCAGCAGCGCCGACGTCATGGACGTGCCCTGCAGATCGCCCAGCGGCCGGGCGCGCATCTTGGAGAGCAGCATAGAGACAGAGGCGCCATTGGCGGCCGTCGTGAGCGACAGCACCAAGGTGGACAAGGCAAGAGCCAGGTAAAGAGTACGGATAGACATGGCTTTTCACGCGCTAGGTTGTAAATTGTGAGTGACGTCGAAGTGACAACGTTACTACGCCCGTGAGCATTTTACAGTGATTGCTCATCCGTGGCGACGCGACAGCATGCCTGAAATTCCTTCTCTTGGCAGGATCTGTTTCGAGGACATGTTCAGCGCAAGTTGAATCAAACAAGACACCTCACCGCTCCACTCAAACTTTCTTTGAGTATTGTGAGTATTTTCCGACAAAGGCCACTATGAGGGTAGGGATGCTTAGAAATCGACAAAAATAGAAACTACTTAATTGAAATCTCCGACACCCTGAAAGATTGAAAATCCGACCCAGGTTTACTTTTCGATGGAAGCGCGAATGTTTGTAGATGCTTGCTCCGATTCCATGACAAAGAAAGATTCTCTTTCGAAACGCGAAACCTATGTCCACCTGGCAATTGGTGATGGGGCTATCGTCTCGTTGGCCCGCCAAAAAAGTGATCGCGGGAATATGGTTGCTCATGCACGCAGAGCATATAGCACATATGTCTCCTGTTCGACCCCTCACCACAATGTATCACGGTAAAGCACACCTGACCTTCTCCAACCCCTAAGAAAGCTCGAAATAGAATCGAACAGCACAGTTCTGACCAAGACCCAGAACCCCGCATGGTTTGCATCGATCAACAGAACGCCTATCAAAATTCAATTTTGTGTTCGTAGTTACATCTAGATCACATTTCTTCATAACGCCACTCCTAAATAAAGGTATATACTGGTACACATATGCGATATAGTATACACTCTCTCAGTAGCAAAGTAACTAGAAACAAGGCGGTACAGGAGAGATATAACGTTGGTGTTGTACTCTCTAAGAAGACAACCCTGTCTAGCCTATAATTTCTACATATGATGCATATGTATAAGTTAACACACCCCCTAGGCTAGATAAAGGGCAGTGCCTAGCAAGAGACACGCAGCTCATGGCGGCACTACTAGTCCAACTTTTGAGTCAATGGTTTGAAGACCAGTCAGCAAGCGTACGCACTAAACAAGAGTAACCCAGGACGAAACTACTAGACATGTTGAAGTACCACAACTGGATGTGCTTCACTCTGCCCTCTAGTCGAGGCTACTGGCACGGGAGGATCATGATCATATTGTCAGCGTACAGGACCAGGGCAGAGCTAGGCCGCTCACTTAAGCTTGTAAGCAAGAGCGTCAGCTAGCGGAGCTCCTTTGCCGCCATGGCACCAGCGTAGATCTCAGCCTCACTGCTAGACTGTGCAACAGAGGAGAACCGAAGGCCGAACCGCTGAAGGACCTGGTGCACCAAGTGTGACTGTGAGAGAGTGATGGTGCGCGCTGCTCTGTCCCTGGAGATCAGCAGGCCAAGGTAGTGGCGCAGTTCTCCTAGGTCAGTGCAGGTGTATCTCTTCAGCAGCTCTGCCTTCACGAAGGCCAGCGCGTCCCTGTCTGCAGTAGCAAAGATCAGGTCGTCTACGTAAACAAGGATGTAGAACGGGGTCTGGCCAGCACGAACGAAGAGCGAGGGGTCTGCGGAGGACGGAAAGAACTGCAGGTCAGAAAGGGTAGCACGCACTGTGACGTGCCACTCACGCGGCGCCTGTCGCAAGCCGTAGACTTGGCGCCGCAGTAGCCACTGGGTCTCAGGAGGGTGTCAAACATGTGTAGTTATCATGTTTGTATAGACTGTATAGGGTCACCTTCTAGAGAGTACAACATTTACGTATATGTTTGTGTACTCTCTCTCTCTTATCATTAAAAATTCTAGGCTTGATATGGTATCACGAGTAGGTTTCGACCCCCCCCCCCCCCCCCACCTACCGCTTCCGCTCCTCCCGTCGCGTCTCCTAGCCTTGCCTCGCCCCTCCTGAGCCCAGTCGCGACCCCTCCCCCTAGCCCCGTCGCGCCCCCCCTTCCAGGGCTTCGTAACGCCCCTCCAGGCCCCCGTCGCGCCCCTCCAGGGCTCTGTAGCGCCCCTCCAGAGCCCCGTCGCGCCCCTTCGCGCCCCTCCTGGGCCCCGTAGCGCCCCTCCAGGGCCCCGTCGCGCCCCTTAGCGCCCCTCCTGGGCCCCGTCGCGCTCCTCACAGGCCCCGTAGCGCCCCGTAGCGCCCCGTAGCGCCCCTCCTGGGCCTCGTCGCGCCCCTCCTGGGTTCCGTAGCGCCCCTCCTGGGCTTCGTAACGCCCCTCCCAGGCCCCGTCGCGCCCCTCCTGGGCTCCGTAGCGCCCCTACTGGGACCCGTCGCGCCCTCCCTGGGCCCTGTAGCGCCCCTCCTGGGCCCCGTCGTGCCCCTCCCAGGCCCCGTCGCGCCCCTCCTAGGCCCGTAGTGTCCCTCCTGGGCCCGTAGCGCCCCTCCTGGGCCCCCCCCCATTGCGCCCCTCCTGAGCCCCGCCGCGCCCCTCCTGGGCCCCCATTGCGCCCCTCCTGGGCCCGTAGCGCCCCTCCTGGGCCTGTTGCGCCCCTCCTGGGCCCTGCCGCGCTCCTCCCTGGGCCCCGTATCCACCCTCCTGGGCCCCGTCGCCCCTGCTCGGCCCCGTCGCCCCAGCTCGGCCCTGTCGCAGCCTCTCGGCCCCGTGGCGCCCGCCCTGCCCCTGTCGCAGCTGCCCGGCCCCTGTCGCACCTGCCCGGCCCCGTCGCGCCCGCCCGGCCCCGTCGACCCCGCCCGGCCCTGCTGTGTCCTGCCCGGCCCCGTCGCTGCCGCCCGGCCCTGTCGCTGCCGCCCGGCCTCGTAGCTGCCGCCCGGCCCTGTCGCTGCCGCCCGGCCTCGTCGCTGCCGCCCGGCCCTGTCGCTGCCGCCCGGCCCTGTCGCAGCCGCCCGGCCCCGTCGCAGCCGCCCGGCCCCGTCGCAGCCGCCCGGCCCCGTCCCAGCCGCCCGGCCTCGTCGCTGCCGCCCGGCCCCGTCGCAGCCGCCCTGCCCCTCGTCGCGCCTGCCCGGCCCCGTCGCGCCTGCCCGGCCTCGACGTGTCTGCCCGGCCCCGTCGCGCCTGCCCCGGCCCTCCATACTTCCTGGTACTGTCCCCCGTTCCCCGCACCACTTTGCACCCTCCTGCACTTTCCTGCCCCGCCTTGCACCGCATTGCACCTCACTGAACCGCACTGACCGCACTGCACCGCACTGGACCGCACTGCACCGCAGTGCATCGCACTGCACCGCACTGGACCGCACTGCACCGCCCTGCACCGCACTGCACTGCACTACACCGCACTCCACTGTCCTCCACTGCCCCTCATGGCTGCTGAACTTCGTTTTGATGCTGAGGGTCAGCCTCTGGAGTTCGAGGCGTGGTTGGCTGACCTTCGCCGCCACCTCACTGGTCAGCGGCAGGACGGCCACCCGCTTTCTGCACACCTAGACGGTATGCTCCCCTGCCCTGACCCCCCTGCTGTGCTGCCCGCTGATCCCACGCCCGCTGAGCGCGAGTCCACTGCCGCCGCTGCCCTTGCCCGCTCTGTCTGGCTTTCCCGCGATGCCCTTGCTCAGCTCGCCATTAGCAATGCCCTCCCCCCCTTGAGCGCCCTCGCTTTAGAACCATTTCTACCGCCCAGGCCTACCTCGATGCTGTCATCAAGCGCTATTCCACCCCTCCTGCTGCCTCAGTGGGTCGCCTGATCCTCCCCCTGCTCTTTCCTGACCTGGCGTCCTTCCCCACTGTCTCTGACCTCGCTGCCCACCTGCGCTCGATAGATGAGGCCTGGCGCGCTGCCTGCACTGATGCACAGCTTAGCGTCCACCAGCCTCCCATGACCTCTACCCTCTACCTCCTTGCCACCCGCCTCCCTGACCGCCTTGCCGCCGCCCGCGACCAGTTCCTTAGCATCCACCCTGCTGCTCTCACCCTCACCGACTTTGTTGACACCCTGACTGCCATAGAGACTCGTCACCGCTCCATAGCCCAGGCGAGCGGTACAGTACCGGTCCCTATCTTTCAGGGTTGTGCCCCGCTCAGTGTACCTTCTCCGACGGCTCTGTCGCTGTGGCTGAGACTGCTGCTGCAGTGCAGTCCCGCTCGGGGAAGGGCCGCCGCCCCAAGGTTGGGAGCGGCGGAGGTGGCGGGGGTGCGGGTGGGGGTAGTGGTGGAGGCGGGTCGTCCGGTGCCGGTGCGGACGTGGGGACCCTGCCCGGTCCAGCTGCCCCGCTACCTCCACCGTTGCAGCAGCCGCAGCAGCAGCAGCCTCCGCAGCAGCCGCAGCAGCCGCCGCAGACGAGGCCGGCGAGTGCTCTCCCGCCTGGGTGGCCTGGAGCTGGTGGTGGTCGTGCGCGTGGTGGTGCACCGGGTGGTGGTTCTGGAGGCGGGCCCTGTCAGTACCAGATCCAGACCGGTCCTCGCCGCGGCTTCGTTTGCGGTAAGATCGGTCATTCCACTCCTCGCTGTTTTCGTCGTCTGGACGACCTGTTCCGCCAGCGCTTTGGCCCGGCGCCCGACCTCCCGGACTGGCACAGCTTGCTTAGGCGTAGCATTCGGATTTTTGACTTGGACATGGATGCCATTGTAGCAGCCTTGCATGTGATGTATGCCGATGACTCTAGTGTGCTTCCCTCTTATTACCCCGTGTTGCCTAGTGTAGCTGTGCCTAGCGTAGACTCCCCTGCTGCGTCAGGCGTAGGATCTCCTGCTTTGCTTAGCCTCGGTGCTTCCACCGCTTCACTGTCGCCCCGCGCGACTGCTGCGCTTTCCTTCACCTTGGACTCTGGCGCCTCCCGGTGTTTCTTCCGCGACTCCACGACGCTGACACCGCTGCCTGTTCCCGCTGCAGTTACTCTTGCTGACCCCTCCGGTGGTCCCGTCGTTGCCCGCAGTTCCACCTCCCTTCCCTGTCCGGCGGTCCCTTCAGGTTCGCTCACCGGTCTGCATATCCCCTCGTTCTCCAGGAACCTAGTTGGTGTCGGCTGCCTCCAGGACCTTGGCGTCACCACTACGTTCCCTGGTCACGAGCGGTATGCTGTCTGTACCGAGGCCGCCACTGGTGCCCCCCTGTCCACGTTCCCCCGGGACCCGGTGTCCGGCCTGTTCACACTTGACACCGCGACGTCCCCGGCTGAGTCTT